TAACTTCCTTAAGGTGAGACGCGGTACATAAGCCTTAACTTAAGTCATAAGTAAGTCTTAACTAACAATATAATAGGTTGTGAGAGGAATATATAGCTAAGCATAACACGTGCTAATGATAATGTTTACAAATATGGTTACACAACCCAACCTAAACAATTGCCTAACCATCTAAGGTGTTGAAACTGCCGCTTAGTAAGAGGAACAATGCAAACCCACACCAGCACCGCCATGTGGGCGTGAGAGAGCAGCCTTAACAATATAATAAACGATACTAGTAATAATTATAATAATATTACACTAATAATTCACCATAATTCATATCAGGACGATACAAGCCCGCAACAGTAAGCCACACATTAACAAGCCACACATTAACAAGCCACACATTAACAAGCCACACATTAACAAGCCACACATTAACAAGCCACACATTAACAAGCCACACATTAACAAGCCACATTAACATTAACAAGCCACACATTAACAAGCCACACATTAACAAGCCACACATTAACAAGCCACACATTAACAAGCCACACATTAACAAGCCACACATTAACAAGCCACACATTAACAAGCCACACATTAACAAGCCACACATTAACAAGCCACACATTAACAAGCCACACATTAACAAGCCACACATTAACAAGCCACACATTAACAAGCCACACATTAACAAGCCACACATTAACAAGCCACACGTTAACAAGCCACACATTAACAAGCCACACATTAACAAGCCACACATTAACAAGCCACACATTAACAAGCCACACATTAACAAGCCACACATTAACAAGCCACACATTAACAAGCCACACATTAACAAGCCACACATTAACAAGCCACACATTAACAAGCCACACATTAACAAGCCACACATTAACAAGCCACACATTAACAAGCCACACATTAACAAGCCACACATTAACAAGCCACACATTAACAAGCCACACATTAACAAGCCACACATTAACAAGCCACACATTAACAAGCCACACATTAACAAGCCACACATTAACAAGCCACACGTTAACAAGATACACATTAACAAACTACACATTAACAAGCCACACATTAACAAGCCACACATTAACAAGCCACACATTAACAAGCCACACATTAACAAGCCACACATTAACAAGCCACACATTAACAAGCCACACAGTAACAAGCCACACATTAACAAGCCACACATTAACAAGCCACACAGTAACAAGCCACACATTAACAAGCCACACATTAACAAGCCACACATTAACAAGCCACACATTAACAAGCCACACATTAACAAGCCACACATTAACAAGCCACACATAACAAGCTACACATTAACAAGCTACACATTAACAAGCTACACATTAACAAGCCACACATTAACAAGCCACACATTAACAAGCCACACATTAACAAGCCACACATTAACAAGCCACACATTAACAAGCCACACATTAACAAGCCACACATTAACAAGCCACACATTAACAAGCCACACATTAACATAGTAAGTGCTCAGTAATCTTCGTGAGGTAGCACTTGAAGGTCCCGGGTAAGCTTCAACTTCAGCTAATTACTCTGCTCGCAAAACCTTTGTTCCTGAAGGTGTTACAAGGCTCAGGGGAGCACCTGAAGCTTCTCAAGTCTTGTAAGCTCTAGCTCTCTCTCTCTCTCTCTCTCTCTCTCTCTCTCTCTCTCTCTCTCTCTCTCTCTTTCTCTCTCTTGTTCTCTCTCTTGTTCTCGCTCTCTTGTTCTCGCTCTCTTGTTCTCGATCTTTCTCGTTCTCTCTCTGTCGTTCTCTCTCTCTCTCTCTCTCTCTCTCTCTCTCTCTCTCTCTCTCTCTCTCTCTCTCTCTCTCTCTCTCTCTCTCTCTCTCTCTCTCTCTCTCTCTCTCTCTCTCTCTCTCTCTCTCTCTCTCTCTCTCTCTCTCTCTCTCTCTCTCTGTCGTTCTCACTCTCTCTCTCTCTCTCTCTCTCTCTCTCTCTCTCACTCTCTCTCTCTCTCTCTCTCTCTCTCTCTCTCTCTCTCTCTCTGTCGTTCTCGCTCTCTCTCTATATTTCTCTCTATTGGTAGAGCATCACAAAAGAGCAAAACAGACAAGCGTCCGATGACTGTGCACCATCACCACGGAACAAACCTGATAGTTCCGTAGCCACAAGTTGTGGAGGAGACAATGGAATTTCTCGGTTCAGCCTTCGCGTGCAAGATGAGAGTTACAGAGCCAGACGACTCTCCCCCCAGTGCGCCTCTCCTTTAACGACTCGTACTTGTGTACTTATTGCATTACAAAGGGAAAAGTAGAAAAACTCAGCAAAGATGCCAGCAATTCCCTAGGAACAGACTGTGTAAGTTCCTTAAAATATGTGCCAGTCCAACTGCAGGGTCTTTCGAGCCAGCAATTAGCCAGTTTTGAAATAAGTTTGGTCTTCTATCCGTCCACAAAGAGAACAGGAAGACATCAGGAGAAAAAACTAAAGATAAGATACTACGGGCTCACCATAGCCCGTGCTACGTGGAACTTTTTGTTCCAGGTAGCGAATCTTTAACAATAACAACAACAACAATACTAATGACCATTATCCTGACTCTCAGCCGTTGGGGAGATCTTTGTAATAAACAAAATCTTTGACATATAGAAAACTTCTTATATGGTCAGTTACTAACAAGCAATCTGGTTTTAAAGATAACGGAAGTATATGATATCTGTTTCTACAGATGACTGCAATACGCAACGTCTTAATTGGTGCGAGGATACACGTTCAGGACCTCACCACCCTTCAGCCATCACACAAGGATAGCAAGTGTAAACATAGCAGCGTAATATAGCCACCTCGTCAACCATTCAAGTCCATACTTAAGGCCTGGGGGGCCGCAGAAATGTCCACATAGTCTACACTGGGGGCCGTGAGAGCGAACGTACACCACTTTTATGAAGCATAAAACTATTCGAATAAGCCATATAATGGCAGTATTAATAGCAGTACTATTAGTAGTAATACTAGTGACAGTAGCGGTAGCTACAGGTGCTACCGTAGCAGTAGACGTAGTAACACGTGTTGCAGTAGGCGTAATAATACCAGTAGCCGTAAGAAAATGTCGGGATGTAGTGACCTAGAGCATGGCCTAGGAGTGCCCGGCGCATAGGTTCGAATCCTCCTCGTGACTTTCTGATTCTCTCATTGATACAACACGTTAATGGGATTTCTTTGTGCAGCAGAGCCGCTGGGCTGAACATAGCTACCACAAGGCCTCGCAAAACAGACCCAATATCTTTACAACTTTTGTATCTCTCGCTTAATATTCGAAATATATTTCACTGTGTTATTTCACAGATTCCACAGAGTCCAAATCAAACTCTTTTGTTGAGCTTTCAAGCTAAAAAGTCAAATCCTTTACTTCTCTTACTGTTAAAACTTTAAAAGCCGATTTTCCTCGCATTTTTTTTCATTCATTTTCCAACTCTTTTGTCATTTTGAATGAAAATTCACGACAGGGACTTACGCGGTTAGGTACAACGCAGGTTCGCATCTCCCCCGGACACTTACTTTGTCCTGCTCAACTGTAAGCGATTTCAGAAGTCCTCAAGAATTTAATATTACAACAACAACCCTCGTTTGTTATTATTGTTGGTTGCTTGGTTGCTAAAGTCCAATAGAGGATATATCTTTCTGTTAGTAAATACTAAGAAACAGTTTAGTTGGATATCTTAGTGGTATAGACTGGAATGATCTAGCTGATGAAACAGAAACTTCTGTCATTCAAGAAGCATGGACATTGCTCTATAAGCTTGTCTCACAGATGACTACCAAATAACACTGGGCATCATTTACGCAATAAAATAAATTGAAATAAATGGGTAGGGTTATCCAGTGTTAAGCATGAGGCTTCCTATTTGCCTTCTTCAAGGGACCTGAAGTGATCATGTCAGCGCTCGTCAAGGGTATTTCCATGATGGCCTTTGTCAATCAACCATAACAGGCGGTTTAGTGTCATATAGTGAAATGTAAACCTATATCGCCGTGTCTTCCACTCACACTTAGGTCCCTCACTACACGCCTAGATGTTCAACATGACTGTAAATTACGTTTCGAAGCGATTACTTAAAGTCAGATGCCGTGAGGTACATTTTTTTCTTCAGGGAATCGGATCTCCTCGAGGGATGATAGCGTATTTTACTCTCGTATCGTCATTTTAAGTATTAAACAGATACGGTACCTGATTAAACAGATACCTGTAACTTGAATGGTGTAACACTGACATTCTGTACCGTCCTTCTGATGATTGCAATCTCCGCCTCCAGCTCTCCACCTTCAGCTTTACACACTTCAATTTCACACACAGGGTTCGCTTAGACGTGTATCAAATTTTGTGTGTGGGTGTAGCGTAGGTGTACCGGTAGTGTACCATGTGTGACAAGTGGCGTACCATGGGTGTATATATGGTGTACTCGTCGCGCACCGTAGGTGTACGGTGTAGCGAGTCTCTTTTTAAGCTACGAGTATTTATCTTTCCGTAATTCACTTAGAATTACAGCGGAAAACACAAGTCTCCAGGTGTATGACCTCTGGATGCACTATGACCTCTTCAACTGTGAATAACATATGCATGTCTTATAAATATACTGCAAGTGGGCTGCGACTCGTGAATGACATGTGGATGTGTTGTGGATTAGCTGTTGGTGTGCTGAAGGATTAGCTGTTGGTGTGCTGAAGGATTAGCTGTGGGTGTGCTGAAGGATTAGCTGTGGGTGTGTTGAAGGATTAGCTGTGGGTGTGCTGAAGGATTAGCTGTTGGTGTGCTGAAGGATTAGCTGTGGGTGTGCTGAAGGATTAGCTGTGGGTGTGTTGAAGGATTAGCTGTGGGTGTGCTGAAGGATTAGCTGTGGGTGTGCTGAAGGATTAGCTGTGGGTGTGCTGAAGGATTAGCTGTGGGATTAGCCGTATTAGTGAAGCTGCTGTAGCTTGCCCACTACCCGTATCTCTCTCTCTCCCTCACAGCCGTGTCAGTGTCGGTATCTGTGTGGACGTTAGTGGCCATCTCCCTGGAGAGGTTCTATGCCATCTGCCAGCCGCTCCGTTCCCGCAGGTGGCAGACGCCCGCCCACTCTTACCGGGTGATCGCGGGCGTGTGGGCGGCCTCTCTCTTCATCATGACGCCCATCGCCGCCCTCTCCACCCTCATGCCCGTCAGGGGCGACCCAGGTAAGGGAAGAGATTGTTAGGGAGATATATATACCCTTACATGGTGGCGTTATCTTTGCTTCAACACGTTGCAGGGCTCGGCTTCACTATCAACATTCAGCGATGCTTCCATCAATGCAGCTTAGCGCAGATAAGCAGGACGCTAATCCCTAAATCTCTCCATTTTTAAGCGTGCGCGTTTATCCTATCAAACCAAAACGCTTGATTTTTCCTTTATATATATATATATATATATATATATATATTTATAAAGGAAAGCGTGCTAGTTTTTTTAGTTCCTCTCTGAATTAGCTCGTCTCGTGATTGTACCCAACCACTTGGGCTGGACGGTAGAGCGACGATCTCGCTTCATGCAGGTAGCTGTTCAATCCCCGACCGTTAAAGTGGTTGGGCACCATTCCTTTCCCCCGTCCCATCCCAAATCCTAATCCTGATTTCTTCCATGTGTCGTAATGGCTTGGTGTTTTCTCATTTATCTATCTTACTATCGTCTTTAATGATCCGCATTGTGAGGTTATCTGAAACCTCACTTAGGAAGGACACACTTTGGAAGTGTTCATTCAGTACTTCACACACTTCCTCTTCAGGTCTTGTGATGGTAAAGGCTAACACAAGGAACGAACAAATCCACAAGAGCCGTGACGAGGATTCGAACCTACGTCCGAGACCATCCCAGACGCTGCCTTAATCGACAGAACATATTTGTTCATTTGATGCATCACGCCATTGTTATTTCTGTGAGCTAACGCAAGGAACGTATTATGTTCTGACCCTCAACAGGCAACCAGAACTAGAACATTTCCTCAACCAAATAAATTAGCATCTTTTGTCTGGTGAAAAGCTATCGAATATCTTTCTATTTTCCAATTTTAACGTCATCAATTAAATTGATTTAATAATGGCTATATCCGCCAAACACACACCCAAACTACGACGTTGGCACAACGTTTAAACAAGTTTTAACACCTAGCCAGTTATAAAAATCAATATAGCAAGTTGTAACAACGTTCTAATCCGTCATAAACACGTTAAGCCAAGATGTAACAACTTTATTACAAAATTGTAACAAACGGAAAATAGAGACAGTTACGGTTTGTGTTTCCAGGGTATGTATCAAAATAATTGGCCATTAAAGCTCCATATTCGAAAACTGTATAATTTCAGGAAAATTCGGCTTGTTGGGCAAGGCTGCCTATTAGGTACATTACAGACAAAAATACAAAAGGTACCTTACAATATATATATATATATATATATATATATATATATATATATATATATATATATATATATATATGTGTGTGTGTGTGTGTGTGTGTGTGTGTGTGTGTGTGTGTGTGTGTGTGTGTGTGTGTGTACCTCTCAATTACTTATCAAACAAAACTTTAAATAAAAAAAATTAAGTCCAAACACAAATTCTAGCAAAAAAAAAGGAACTATGAAAAACATTAAGTTACGCTCCATTCCAAACACATTTTTTTCAACTACATTTTTCAGCCAGCGCAGTGATACAAACATTCATTGTATCCACCTGACAATTGTTGCAGCCTAAATTGGTGTGAAAACTATGCTTTAATATCTCACTTTGAATTGAATAATTTGATAAAAGTTGCACAGTCATTTTGGGGGTATATATATAAATATATCCGTACTGAATATCTGTCGTCATATATGCTGCTATATAAAGGTGTATTAACCATCGGGATTACCCACACGTACATGGGTGATCCCGGTGGTCAAACACAAACTTACAAACACATACAATATCAAAAGACTGCATAGAGTAAGGTGATGGAAATTGAAACAAGCGACAGGAGACGAATAGGATGGCAGATTTCAGGATCTCTTTACAACAACAATAGAAAAAGACCCGAGAGTGGACACAACACGAAGCCAAACTCCAGAGGCACATATCAATTTAGTAACATCAACAAGATACTCTACACTAAAAAGTCAGCTCATCATTCAGAAACATTAAAAAGAAAGCATTTAGCATACTGAAAGCTGCCTAAGTGAGACCAGTTTTAGAGTATGCCGCCTCATCATGGAACCCCCATCTAAATTAAACACAAGAGCAACTCGAAAAGGTTCAGAAGTTTGCATTGAGACTCGTCCCAGAATTGCGAGTAATGGGGTGTGAAAAAAGACTGAAAGAACTAGACATAACATCGCCAGAAAAGGAGAGGGAAGACCATACAGAAAATGAAAAGAAAATGTGTGAGCTAAATGCCAGTATGCACAATGTCTTCACTATGATAAGAGCTGTACCATCTCCGGGCACTAGGAGAGGAGGTAACCCCTAGACGAGAAGCTGACAAATGTTAAGATATCAGCAGAGGAAATAATGAGACTATTAGCATCATTAGATGAAAATATAGCTACGAGGCCAGATAATATTTCACCAGGGGTCTTAAAAGCAGCTGCACAGGCAGAGCTGGTGGTCTTTAATGTCTCGATTGCGAAAGGAGTTTATCCAGCTGTTGGAAGATGGCAAATGTTGTGCCATTATATAAGAAAGGAGAAAGGGAGGAAGCACTAAAGTGCAGACCAGTATCGTTGACAAACATCCCCTGCAAGATGTGAAAGGATAATAAAGATAAGACTAGTTAAACACACACACACACAACAAACGAATACACATACACCTTTTGTACCTATGTTTCCTTATTATTTTGATATAAAAGCATTATTTTAGAAATATAACTGAATTAATATATAACTAAAATAAAATTATTTTGAATAAACTTTTCATCTGAAAAAAATAAAGGCGCATATTTTAGTTTTTTCGTGAAAAAGCGACATTATTAAACAAAATAATCGACTTGAGAATGGTCCAGGACAGACCGAAACGTCGTCGTCGTCCCTTCACTTTCTAGTATGTGGTATGGTCAACATATTTCAGCCACGCTATTGTGACTCATCGCCTGTAAACAAAATAATTGACTGCATTTTTTTCAGTGGCTACAACGATAAAGTTCAACTTTGATGTTGAGCTTTTCTAGTTTTGATGTTGATGGTCAGAACACAAGTCATGCTGAGCTTCCTCATAGATCCTTGTGTTAGTCCTGAACGATACAATGTAAGGGGAGGGGAAGATTATGTATAATTTCCCATATTATACATAATCTTCCCCTATATTCCACGGATATAATATATATATATATATATATATATATATATATATATATATATATATATATATATGTCGTACCTAATAGCCAGAACGCACTTCTCAGCCAACTATGCAAGGCCCGATTTGCCTAATAAGCCAAGTTTTCCTGAATTAATATATTTTCTCAATTTTTTTTCTTATATAATGATAAAGCTACCCATTTCATTATGTATGAGATCAATTTTTTTTTATTGGAGTTAAAATTAACGTAGATATATGACCGAACCTAACCAACCCTACCTAACCTAACCTAACCTATCTTTATAGGTTAGGTTAGGTTAGGTAGCAGAAAAAGTTAGGTTAGGTTAGGTTAGGTAGGTTAGGTAGTCGAAAAACAATTAATTCATGAAAACTTGGCTTATTAGGCAAATTGGGCCTTGCATAGTTGGCTGAGAAGTGCGTTCTGGCTACTAGGTACGACATATATATATATATATATACATATACATACATATACATATATATATATATTATATATATAAAATATATATATATAAATATATTTATATTATATATATTAGGGGATATATCCCTTATATTCTATATAAGGGAAATATTCTACATAAACATGATAAAAACATACCCCTGTACATTGAAGATAACATTCAATGTACAGCTTTCCAATAAAAGTATACATTCAATTTACAGGATAATTATCACGAGAAAGTCTTTGTTCAGCTAGAATATTGTTGGAAAACTTATTTCCAACTTATATCCTTCACACAGTTTCCTGGTGTAATTGTAGTATTTCATACAATAATTTGTATGAAATTTTTATGAATATGAAATAATTGTATGAAATGAATAATTTCATACAATTTATTTTGACAATAAATGTATTCCCCCACACCCTTTCCCCTAGAGATCTTCCGGCGACTATCACAAACTATTTCTTGCAACTCTGAGTCGCAACCCTAGCTTTGGAAGGACTGAATAATTAGACGGTGGCAGACAGGATTTTCTTGTATGTTACTAAACACTAAGTATAGACATTTATAAGTGTTTATCAGTACGTTCCTCATCATTTATGTTGATGGTGCCATTATTGCTGTCTTCTGAATATCAGATAAACGTATAGGCACTCCAAAATATTTCACAGGATTCAACACAATATAGCGATATATTATATAGTGTTAAATCAGTAAGAATATAAAATAAATCACAATGGCGTGAAATATCAGTGAAAAAATCGGTAATGCTCGGGTCTGGTATTCACCAAGACTGGTTCACATACCCACACTGCTCCGACAGAAGAAAGTATATATCTTATGGTTAGCATTGTAAATGTGTGGCCACGTCTGTGGTTGAATAAAACTGTGCCAACTGATTTTTTCATATGACGGTGTATTAATGCTAGGTATATTAATCCTCTGAGCATTATATCACCTAGACACTTGGGTTCTTAATCATTTTACGATAACAGACAAGATGGATTTCCTGAAATGTCCCCCATGCCCCCTTCACCAGACTGACGAAATTATCAGCACCACCACCAGTCCTAATGTACCACTGTGGCTTCAAAAGCTGTCAAAAGCTTGATTTTATTTAACATGTGGTTAGTTAGGAAGTAGGAACACAACAGCTGAAACAAAGTCGTAAGGATTTTATCATACTTATACATACTTTTATCATACCTAATTCTACTTGCAACTAAGGGATTATATATAGAAATTTCCACACACCAGAGTCCACCACAGATTAAGCAAATAATTAAAGATGGAGCAATACAGAAAATGTACAATGACCACCAACTCAGCAGTTGCAACATCAGGGTCTGCGGGTTGGTACAACAGTTCAACCCCCTATGAACCACTTTGTTTGATGAAAG